ACTGGGAGCAGATTGGAGCAGATTGGGTCAGACTGGGGCAGACTGGGAGCAGACTAGGAGCAGATTGGGGCAGACCGGGGCAGACTGGGAGCAGACACAAGCTCGACTATCCTTTAGTTTAACTAGCACAGAAACCTGATGCTGTGAAAACCAGCAGTATTAAGATATACAGGGAACAAAGCCAAGCCATGAAATGAACTCATTCTCTCCCTCACCTCCTGACACATGTGTTGGAAAGTTTCATTTAACAAAAGTGATGACAAAAGACAAATCTCTCAAATGTATCCACTTTTCTTCAATGCCCTGAACTACCATCATCTCACATCAGCACAACCACAACTGCCTCCCAACTCATCTTCCTGTGCCCAATCTTGTCCCCTTGTTATAGAAAGAAAATCTGATCTTGCCATTTCCCTGCTTAAAAAAGCCTTCAATGGGTCCCTTTGTTCCTAAATGAAGACCAAAGTCTGCTTATTCCTCCACACCAAGTTAAACTTTCCCACTTCCAGCAAAACAAGCACACATCTGTTGTAGAAGTGATCCCGGCTGCAGGTGGAGCAGACTCCTCTTCGTTTTTTATTTTGTTTTTTTGTTTTATTTTGAGACCGAGTCCTGTTCTGTTGCCCAGGGCTAGAGTGCTGTGGCGTCAGCTTAGCTTGCAGCAACCTCAAACTCCTGGGCTCAAGTGATCCTCCTGCCTTGGCCTCCCAAGTAGCTGGGACTACAGGCATGTGTCACCATGTGCGGCTATTTTTTTCTATTTTTAGTCGTCTGGCTAATTTTTCTATTTTTAGTAGAGACATGGTCTAACTCTTGCTCAGGCTGGTCTCAAACTCCTGAGCTCAAGCGATCCTCCCGCCTCGGCCTCCTAGAGTGCTAAGATTGCAGGGGTGAGCCACCACGCCCAGCCCAGGCTCCTCTTTGGAACAAGCAGTTCTGTCTAAAGAGAGACACAGTGTAGACCAGTGCTTCCAACTGTCGGCAAGGAGCAGTTTTCGTTTGCTTGTGCTTTTAGATACCCTCTTTAAATAAAGAAGATAAAGTCCCACTTGTTCTCCTCATCTTTCCCCACAGGCACCAACTATCGTGAATTTTGCTTTCTCGTTTCTAAAAAGAGTTGACTGTGGACTGATACGTTTGTAAAATACAATATTTTTCAAGGCTTCCACACGTGGATGTCATAGTCATGTCAAATAATTATAAACATTTCTGAGCGCTTACTCTCAGTTCCTGCGTTACCGTGTCCCAACAGTTCAGTCTGAGTAGCTCTGGTGTAGGCTGGTGCTTTTCAATCTCTTGTGTGCATCTCAATCACCCGGAAGCCTTTTTAAAACACAGATTCCTGGTCCCCAGTCTAAGAGATTTGGGTCAGTAGGTTTGGGCAGGGGCTCAGAAGTTGCCCTTCTAGCAGGCTTCCAGGGGACAGGGACGCTGCCAGCCTGCGCTCCAGACTGTGCGTAGCACTGGTGTAGGTTACGCGAGAGAGAAAAAACACTGGCCTGAAACCAGGAGACCACCCAGCACACGAGCAGACAGAAAGCATCTGGGAGGAAACCCACCAAAACGTTCACCAAAGTTAGTGCTGCCTTGGATAATGATTTACAAACTTTTTTACTTTCCCTTTTGCGCTTTTCTGTACATCCCAAATTTTATTTATGTTTTTACATATGCACATGCACACATACCCCTCCTCTAAATCTAGAAATCATGTGTGTATACATATTTTTAAAAGAGTTTATTTGATGTTCTTTGGCAGCCATATCACTGGAAACTTATATAAGCTTATGGACAACATCACCGACAGAGGTTTTTAAAATCATTCAACAACTGATCTTTTGAACTTAAGTACCGATGTTAGATTTATTATGATGTAGAAGTACATGTAATGTTTACTAGCTTCATAGGTCTTCTGAATATTTATCAGGGTGAGACAGAAGGCACTCACTATCACCTTAGGCTTGTCTGTCCTAGCCTTTCTGGTTTGAAAAGATTGTCCAGAATGAAGAACTCAGAATTCTTAGTCCTACTTTCTCTTTGATGTTTGTTGACATTTCTGTCTTTCTCAAGCAGTGGCTCTGTCTCCCTTATTCTTCACAGCTTGACACTGTTGTCACCACTGTCAGCACTGTTCATCAAACTGACAACCCATTTCTGGGCCTTAGCCTTTCTTATGAGCTAATTTGTCTTTGCCTATATGCTTATTTGGATGAAATCTATTGGACTATTTGCTCAGCCAGCCCCCTTCTGGGAAGGGTGCATCCTCTGTCACCTGCAGTTGGGGGAGGTCATGCTTGTACATATATGTAACACCACCCCCTGGCCATGGCTGATTGGTCCAGGAATAAACACATGATCCAAACTGGATCAATTAGTTCCTTCCCAGGAATCTCCAACTGGGAAGGAGAGAGAGAGAGCCTTTTCTGTCAAAATGGCTGGGCTAAGGACACACCCTCAACAGCTGTGTGGCGATCCTGTGTTCCATTGTGTCGTCTGGGCAGGAAAGAAAGTCTGTGTACAGACACACACAGCAAAGGGCAGAGGTGAGATATGAAGGCGGAGTCATGTTTACACGAGCTCTGAAAAGAAGCTGCCCTCCTCCAGTGGCTGAGGTTCCCTACAACTCTCTGAGTCCTGCCATTCTTGATGCTGGAATTCCATGACACACCCAGGATCCTTCTAGTAAATACTCTCTGTTGCTTCAGCCAGTGAGGGCTTCTTTATTCCAGGAGAACCTTAGCCACCATTACGCCTCCCACTACAACCCTGGACTACATTATAGACCTTTCTAGGTGGCCACATTAGTTTTATTCTAAAATTCATTCCGGCCGGTAATCCTAGCACTCTGGGAGACCGAGGCGAGAGGACTGCTTGAGCTCAGGAGTTCGAGACC